AAATAACCATTTTCAACGCTTAAAACCGACTGATTTATAAACTGTACGATCTAATGGACAAGAAAAAAATATTTTCGTCATTGAATAAAACAAACAATAAATAAAGCGATTTTAGGTATATGTATAAATGTATACTACAACGTTTCTGCAATCGAGTGTATATATATGTGTGAATATTGAATGGGTAGAACTGTGGTGAAATAATGATAGATGTGTTGATCATCAGAGTGAATGAGCGATCCAAGCGAACGCTGTAAAGAAAGACTTGAAAAAATGATTTCAAGCTTCAACGGGCTTCTTCCCGTTGAAGCTTGAAATCATTTTTTCAAGTCTTTCTTTACAGCGTTCGCTTAGATCGCTCATTCACTGTGATGATCAACACATCTATCTGTATATATATATATGACTTTGTTGCCATGTTGGCGGGCATTACGAAAGAAACCAACATGGCGGCTATGACGTCACTTGACATCAAGAATACTTTTCTGATGCATTCCCCCTCCCCTCTCATTAAAAAAACGATCCTCGTGATCGTCTATCTAAAGTTCTTTTATTATCACGACACAGGAAGGGGATCAATTTATGTTTGGGCCAGCGGTAACGGCGGTGGTTCCCATGACGACTGCGACTGTGATGGTTATGCTTCTAGTATCTACACCATTGCAATTGGAGCGATTAGCGCCGCTGGAAGGTCCACTTTCTATGACGAGAAGTGTGCGTCAACTATGGCGGTAGTCTATAGTGGAGACAGTGGAGGAAGAGTCGAAGAATATCATGATCTAGTCACTACTGGCAGAGGTAACAAGGCGTGAGCAATTGACTGATATTTCATTATTTAGGATTATATTATGGTCAGCGCTAAAAAATACAGCAGCTAACGGGAAAAAATCGGGTACTCCCATCTACACGCCCTTGCTATCCTTCTGTGTGAAAGATAAAAAGTTGATGGTTTTTGATATTTCTTACCTTCAGGTCACACATGTCTTAGACATTTTGGCGGAACGTCAGCAGCTGCTCCTCTAGCGGCTGGAGTCTTCTCCCTGGTGCTCCAGGCAAACAAAGACCTCACCTGGAGGGACTTACAGCACATAATCACCAAAACAGCAAAGGTAAATAATCCAAAAGATTCGAGCTGGAAAATCAACGGAGCTGGGTTCAAAATCAACCACAAATATGGTTTTGGATTGCTGTATGCTCCAGCACTGATTAAAGCAGCGAAAACATGGAAGACTGTTCCAAAACAAGTAAAGTGTGAAATCAAGGTAAAGCTACCTTCTGACAAAAGAAAGCGAGCCATTACGAAAGCTGGAAGTGTCACTTTTACTGTCGAGGCTGACGCCTGCAGAGGGACGCCGAATTTTGTCAAGAAACTCGAGCATGCTCAGGCGGTCATCAATCTGAGGCATCGCCAGCGTGGTGTTCTTAGCATTGATATTGAATCTCCAAGTAAAACCTTGAGCAGACTGCTGGCTGAGCGACCTCTTGATAAATCTACCGTTGGAGTTAAGGACTGGCCTTTTACAACTGTTCATATGTGGGGAGAAAATCCGGCAGGATATTGGAAACTAACTATCCGGGATAACACAGATTTGCACGAAAAACGCTTGACCAATAATTACAGGTTCCAATTTGATGACAACGAGATGCAAGTTCGAGATGAACCAGAGATGGCATTTCATTCTGAGAACATGGAGAGTGAAGATCTACCTGTTAACGATGAAGCATTTGAGATTCCAAGACCGTTCCGCCATGAGATTGTACTTGAAGACGAGAACGAAGACGAAGGTAGACAAAATGTCGCAAGAGAAGAAGACGAAAGAGAGCTGAATATATTTGATGTCCGTAGTAATATATATGGTGCTTTGGACTCTTGGACGTTAGTCCTATATGGGACTGCAGAATAGGAATTATGATAATAACATGGGGATCTCCTTTCAGAAAAAAATCAATTTGTGTGAAAGATTATATTTTATTCGTACTTTGCAGGTAACAGTCATGTGATTAACAAGAAAGATTAATGAGTCATACTTTTTTGTTTCCAATAGAACTTGTATTTATCAGTAACAAAATCAATATTTGAGATCTACAAATTCTTATAACGCAAAATAATGAATTAAAACTGCTAAATATTTAAGGAAAATAGTTAAATTTCATTTGTAACGCCTGGTGCGATACGCTAATTTCTTAAAAATGCAAAGTTTCTTGTCTTTGTAAGTCCACTTGTAAGAAGAAAAAAAAAACTTGCCCAAGGAAGAGAAACATCAGTCACGTGACTCTTAGCTGCAAAGACGCAAAATGACATGACACAACAACATCAACTAACTTCAGGGCCATGATGAAGTAAATTTGAGGCGAAAACCGTTTCAGCTTTCTAACCAGAAATTATATTACAAATAATTGCTTTTCACTCCATAGATTCCTCATATAAAAAGATTATTTCTTGATGTATCATTTTAGTTGCTGCAATCATGCATTGCAGGTGTTCCTAGTTGATTCTGCTTTGCTAACTCTACTCCTACCCAATCCTTCTGTTCCCATGCCAACCATGAGCGCTTGCACTGATGCATGCTACTTCCAATTGTTGATTTCTTATTAGCAATCTTTAAATTTTTGATCATTTTTTCCTTCAACTGAATAGCAGGAGCAGCACGTATTACCTCATCAAGACTCTGCGTTCAGGGAGAGGATTTCGCATGACTGTGCACAACAATTGTAACACCTTAACGTTACGTACTGAATGATCGATCTGGATGGATATTTTCGCTCATTTGTCAACTGTCAGTTACTATTCCTTTTATATAGAGCAAGTGCATGTTATATGTAAAATAACCACCATCTTGGTTGACGAAAAAAAAAGCATTCCTAATTAGGTTCTCTTTTTAGATCAACCAACATGACGGTTGCTTCATTGTTATTCATATCTCAAGGGTTTTTGAATCACGTGGCTAATATATACACTGTATTTGTCAGTTGTCAGTTAAAATTTGCGCTCTTGATATCCTCCGTGTCGTAGTTTTCACAGTCATACGAACTCTGCATGTTCTAACCACACAACACTCGGTTATTCGGAAATAAATGGGTTACAACAGTTATAAATAACGATGCATATGGTAAATAATAATGAAATTCTTCACATACATATAAAATAAATATTTATTTCTAATATATTTTCTTACATTCAAATTAATCAAATCGAACAGACTCATTAGAACGACAATACACAAAGCCTTTTCTAGATTGCTTACAATAAACCCTCAAGAGTGCCAGTTACAACTACATCAGAGGTTCTRCGAAATGATACCATTTACACAAGTAATCATTCCGAGGTAAAGGACATTTGAAACTGGGTCGGGCCAGTGCCATTGCAATGATTGACTTGGTTTGGGACAAAATAACGCCATCTTGGAAAAAATGTCCCTTAAAACAGTCCCGACAATTCACTGTATAATGCCGACGGAACTCGACCCCTCAACCTCGGAATGACTTATAGACAACACAGGATATTGCACCATTTTGTAGTATTATTTAATATGTTTTCACTGGTTGACTAATCTGTGTGTACTTTAGTAGTAATTCACGTAATTCTCAAGCACTTATTGAAACTTATTTCTGAATTGTCTTCCGAATAATATTATAACTGGTAAAAATCTATGGCAATAAATGACACATTGACTCACGTTAGGCTAGTTGAATCATGCTCCAAGGTTAGGTGCGTGTCCCCGTGCGTGTGTTGTATGTGAGTAAGTTGCTTGTTGGTTCCATTCCCCTTCTGTGCGGCTTTGGAGGTTGGTCCTCCCCCCGCAAAAATTCCCATTCATTTATTATTTTTATTCAGTAGAGCCCCCTTCCTCCCGAAATTCAGCATCTTTTCTGGTAAAATAGTAAAAATGCACGGTTCTGAGTAAAGTTATCCGCTTGGGTGGGAGGGAATTTCGGTCTGGTGTAGAGATAGCTCTTTAATTTGAGCCAGAATGATCTGTCTAAACCCACGCGGAGCCATATATGCCTATTTAAAATAAAGTTGTCATATCGTCAAAGTATAGGAGATGGGTCATTCCAAGATCCAAGAATAGCTCAGAATGACTTGTGTTTCTGCTTCTTATTGTCGTCTAGAATATGACCTTGATTGGCCTTTATAATTGAAACGTGTCAACAGTGTATTGTCCTCAAAGAGTATAAAATTTCAACACCAAGCTGCTTTGTTTGATAGTAATATTATTTACAAGGGCGGATCCAACCAAAATTTCAGGGGGGGGGGGGTGAGGGCTAATTGAGTTTAGGGGGGGGGGTTAATGGAGTTTTTTCCGTCAACACAACTGAAAACAATAAAAAAGCATCTAGTTCTTTAGTTTAGTTTTGTTTGATTTTTTTTTGCTGAAGGGGGGATTCAGCCCTCTTTTGTCCCCCTGGATCCGCCCTTGATTGATGATCGATAATAATTTATTAACTTTTATCTCTCTCTCCATATATATATATATGTATGTGTTCTATTAATAATGGATAAATAATAATAATAATAATAATAATGATTATAACAATAGTACATATTAAGAATACACAACTCATGCAAAGAAACAAAAGTTAAGAATAATCTAAGAATATTAATATGACATCTTATAGAAATACAATTCAGGCTTCTGTTAAATGCATGGATAGAATATACACTCAATTGAAGAATTGCGTCGGGCTCAGAAACATATAACATAGAAGCTGAGACCGAAATGGCACAGTACGTTAATTAGATGTATGCAGTACGTTAATTAGATGTATGCAGTACGTTAATTAGATGTATGCTGTAACCGGCGACCCGTGGCATCATCCACTCTCAAACGCAGGTCTTCTGAATCTGTGCGTTTGGCATTCTAAACCGACAGCACGGATGGCGTAAATGAATAAGTTATAATATAATTATGTCATTTCCCATGTGCCATTTCGGTCTCAGCTTGTATGTTCTATGTTTCTGAACCCGACAACGATTCTTCTTGAGTGTATATTGCGAATATTCAGTGATGCACGGCCCGGGGATCACGGCTAATTACAATCGTATGGTTGAGGGGTACCGGTTGAGGCATTAACTTTAATTTATATAGATGTAAATTTGCTACAGCATCGACTTATCCACTATAAGGATTTATTATTTCTTATTTATTGTAGCACTTTTCACCTTTCGTATATAGGCACAACTGCAGGGCACCAGATCATGTACATCACGAATGGATAGTCATGCAGAACCAGGCGATTTCAGGACTAAAGCTATAAATGCTACGAAAGGTTCCCATGTTCGGGGGGTCATACAATCAAGAAAATCCATAAATTTTAACAATAAGCTATTCACCGCCCGTTGTAACCTCAGTCTCTGTAGTCACGTTCGGGTGGCAAACGGTGCGTGACAAACCCTAATAAGAATATCTGTGCAGTAGACTACCCCGGGGGGAGGGGGGGAGGGTACTCTCCTATATTCGCAATATGGTACGTGCCTACGTGGACTACGTGCTGCCAAACAGGGTATGGTTTTCAGCTATTCTACTCTAGAACAGGGTATATAAAAGCACTCTCTCTCCTCTCTGGAACAGGGTTTTCAGCGATCTTGCTCTGGGGGAACAGGGTATGAATTTCAGTGATTGTACTCTGGAACAGGCTCGGGGGGGGGGGGGGGGGG